AAATTTGGGGGCATTATGAGGGACCAAAAAGCAAAGTATCTGAAGGGATCCAAATCAAACAATATTGGACCTAATTAGTACCAAAAACATGACTAAGAGAACACCATTGACCTGCTGTCCCATCTGTGTAAAATATTTATGAGAAATATCTATATATCAATTGAAGGCATCCTTGAGGAGGGTATTTAGGTATTTATTAAGGAATAAACAGTCTTTTACAAGCGATATTCAACAAATAGGCCACATCTTTATCATTTCATAATTGGCTGGAAGACATAGAGGATGCACTGTCCCACTGTGTTTATTGTTTGTTGATAATGAAAAATTGGAAGACAAATACATCTGCTGCACATTTAGATACAGAGTGGCCTGGATAGGCCTCTGGTGCTTTGGCAGTATCATCCTAAGCCTCAAATGTGGCAACCCTAATCCATGCAAAGGGATGCAATGGTTCAGTCCAGAAAAGTGAAACATCACTTTTTAGGCTTTTTCTTTTTTTTTGGGTGAGGTAGTTAGGGTTAAGTGACTTGCCCAGTGTCAACACAGCTAGGAATTGTCAAGTGTCTAAGGCCAGATTTGAACTCAGGTCTTCCTGACTTCAGGAAGTGGAGTGCTCTATCCACTGCACCACCTAGTTGTCCCTCCCCCACCCTTTGTTTTAAGAAATCACCTCTTACCCATCTAAGAAAATCATTCAAGATTTCTCGAAAGATATAACAACAGAAATAACCTTGTTTGACAAATCTCTGATCAGAAATATCAGGTGATGCATCAAACAAGGAAATGGATGCTCTCCAAAAGATCAATGATGAAGCCCTACACATGCTTTTATTTATAGGTGACAGTGTGCTGACTGCATCAATCTCAGGAACACTTCAGAGGCTTCTGGAATAGATATGTAATCACTCAATAGAATTTGGTTTGACCATCCACACAAGAAAAAAAGTGGACAAAGAACGTCTTTCCCAGAATATACTACCCTTTCCTATAGAGCAAGCTGGCCTAGCTGACATAGTGGGGCACCCTGAGGGAGTGACATAAGGCAGCATGTGCCAGTCAAGCCAAACCACTACCATCACCTTGACCACCATTTCAATTTGGACCTTGATTTAGACAACTTAAGACCCTGAACCCAAGAGGTTTGGGCACAGCAGTATACCCTAAACCACTAGACCTGATTTTAGCCCAGCTCCTGGAGTCATCATTAAGGGGGAGAAATCATTGTTTAGAAGGGGCTATCTTTCTCAACAGCACCAGTTACAGGCACTGACTAACTCTCATAAGATAAGCTCTGGTAGAGATGAAGCCCTGGTAGAGGAAATAACTATATGATCTGGCTAATATGGAAATATGTTTTTTGTGACTTCACATATATAATCACTATCTAGTTGCTTGCTTTCTCACAGAACAGGGAGGGGTGGGATGAAAGGAGGGAGAGAATTTGGAATTCAAAATTTTTAAAGATCAATGTTAAAAATTTTTTATATGTATGTAATTGGGAAATACTTAATGAAATAAAATATATTGAAAAAGAAAGGAAACTATGATCAGAAGAGAAGATAGCTAAGCTGGTCTCATGGAAGAAGATAAGGGATGATAGATAGACAGAGAAAGGGCTCCACTGGAATCCTTACAATGTAAGGAAAAGTGAGGAAGGCCTCCAGAATGTTAGATGGACATTCTCTGGTAGACTGATGCATATGGAGGAGTCACGCTCCAAACCAATGAGATCATAGGTCCATTTGAATGTTTAATCCTTGGACTATCTACTAAACATGCCTTTCCTGATTAAAGTGCTCCCCTCCTGTATTAGAATGCAATTCTCTGAGGGCAAGTACTGTTTCAATCTTCAGTTTGGCTCTCCAGTACCTAGTATAGGGACTGGCACATAGTAGGTGCTTAAAATTATGCCTGAATTGAATTCTTGTGATTAAAGTGCATTGCAAACCGTAAAGAACTATAGGAATGAGAGTTATTTACATTTGTCCTTATTTATCACCACAAAAAATCCAGCATCTAGGTGGTATAGTAGATAGAGTGCTGGGTATGGAATCAGGAGAAAAGACCTGAATTCAGATTTGGCCAGCTGTAAATTACTTAAAGCCGGGTAAGTCACTTAACCTGTCCGCCTCACTTTCTTCAACTATAAAATGGGGATAATAATTGCATCTACTTCTCAGAGCTGTTGTGAAGATAAAATGAGATAATTTGGTACACAGTATTTAATAAATGTTTGTTCCTGTCTCCTTATTAAAAAAGGCCTGAACTGTGAGTTATTTACATTACTCACAGCTAGTGAGTGTTGTGTGTCTGAGGCCACATTTGAACTCAGGTCCTCTTGACTCCAAGGCCAGAGCTCTATCCATTGTGCCACCTAGCTGCCCCCATTCAGTTTTTTTTTTTTTCACCTAACCTCTTTGAGCCTGTTTCCTCAGCTGTAAAACAGGAATGCTAATAATACCTCTAGTACCTATCTCATGGGGTTGTTGTGAAAATCAAATGAGGTAAGAAAGTGCTTTGCAAACCTTAAAGTGCTATAGAATTGTCAGGGTGTTTTGTTTTGTTTTTGTAATGGGGGTTGATCAAGGGAACTCTGAACCATCTGATGAATTCCCTTCTTCAGCCCTAAATTAAGAGAATGAGATTCAAAGGCATTATGGCCTTTGTAGGAAGGGGGCATTTCCCATGGGGTAAGCTGTTTGCCCTAGACCCTGGCTGAGAGACTTGAGCCCTAGCATACTAAGATGGATATTTCTGGAGTATCTTAAAGTTTGGGAAGTATCTCAGTTCAGTCTTACAAAAACTGGATAAGTACTACCGGCATTGTAACTGCCACTCCCTCCACCCCAACAGAGGTGAGGAAACTGGAGCTCAAAGAGGTTTACTTAACCTCCCTACTAGACTAGCACAAGGTCACACAATTAGTTGTGCCAGAGACGACAGATTGGAATCCAAGTCTAGCATGGATTGTATCCATTTTGCTATGTTGACCCTAAGCATAAGTAAGGGAAAATATTAAAATGGCTAGCATATAAAAGATTCAATGACACAACAGCAAACATAAGAATTCTGGGAAGCAAAATTGTAAAAGCTTAAATGGAAAACAGTTAAGTTGGTACAGAGTTATCAAGAATGAGATTGCAACAAATCTCAATAGCCCTGCATTTTGGCCAGAACTGACAAGCAGCTTAAAAAGGAATGACAGTTGAGTTCTAGGCTTTTCACTCATATCCAGGATAAGGATGATCATTATCAGAGGCATGACTTTAAACACATATGGCAGTGAGGGTCCAACCTAGGCAAAACTGTAGGGTAGGCGTTTTTGTTTAGAGCCCATTCACAACTCTCTTTCTGTATGCTGGTACCCTTCTCCTGGTGCTGACTTTCCCCTTCAATCCCAGGACCTCCAGGCTGCTCACTTGGATTATAAATGTGGAGCTAGAGAGGTCCTTAGACACCATCTTGTTCAATCCTCTCCTTTCATAAATGAAGAAACTGAATTCCAGGGGAAGTTAAGTGACCTGTCCAAGATCTTTGCCCAGAGCTCTCACAGTTCCCCCTTAAGCCTATTTCCTTCTTCCAAATTATCCTCTCCAACTGTCTCTAACCCCTCCCCAACACTGCCATTCCCACTGTACATCTCCTGAAGAAACTAAGTCACATTAAAGTTCAAATGTCTTAATCCTCTCAGGGGTATATGAAATTTTATACCCAGCTTGTTAAGGCAAAGCAATCTATCTTCAACAGTGCAATTTCAGAGGGGATATTTTTGGACAGAAGCTTGTCCTGTCCTCCGACTTATGCACAACCTTCAGAGAAGTATTAGAAATATGTATTTCTCTGTTTCCTTAGCTTTGAAAAGTTAGGGTCATAAAGCAGACAGCTATAGAAAGAAAAAAGCCTGCTTGTAAGAATTTGCTCGTTTGTGGGCCCATCGTGTGTCCTGCAGCTGTCTGTAGACTTTGGGGAACTGACTGAGGATTCCTGCTCCCAAACATTCCTCCAGGAAGGGTGGGGGGAGAATATGGTGTGGGCTGAGCCTCGCCCTCTTTGGAAGCATCCCGGGTGCCAGGGAGTGGTTAGACCTGCCCAGCCTCGCCCTGCTGACTTTGCAATGGACCGGGCTGCCAAGCAGGGGTGGGTGTCCAGGATGGGGTTGCACCAGAGGCCTGGCCGGGGCTCTACAGCCGCGGTGCAAAGCCACGGTCACCTGGGACAGCACTTGTACCGCCCGACCCCGCACTCTGGCCGGAGGTGGTGACAAGGCCGCACGCGGGCCGGGGCATTTCAGGACGATCCCCATTTTTAGGTATCCTCCCCCCCGCCGCGCACCTAGGGCAGCTGCTCCGGCCGGGCCGGGCAAAAGGCCCGAAGCCCTTTCTCCCCATTCCAGCCGCTTCGGGCGGGGGAGGGCGTCCTTCCGCAGCCCAGTCTCCTTGAGCTCCCGTGGGCCCTAGAGGCGCCTCGCGCCCCTCTGCCGGGGCTGCGCGCGCGCCCCTGGGGGGGGTAGGAGGAGGGAGAGAGGCAAAGAGCGTGCGCGACGGCAGAAGGGGGCGAGCGAGGCCCGGACGGGACCGGACCTGAGCGGCGGCAGGGCGCCTGCGCGGTAACGCCCTCCTCCGCTGCCCGCCCCTCTACTCCACTGTCCCAAAGCAGCCTCGGAGGGCGGCGGCTGCGGCGGCCCGGTGGAGTCGGCGCGGGTCCCTTGAAGACGTGGAGCCGCGTTGACTGAACGCTGAAATCTGGGAGGACGAGGAGGAGGAGCCGCGGCGGCGGGAGGGCGGTGTGCGGCTGACTCATCCCTCCCCGCGGCAGAGGAGACAGACAGACGGACACACACGCACAAATATACACACCGAACCGCCCTCCCGGCTCCGCTTAGCCCGCGCGCCCCGGCTCCGGTAGGGTCTGCTCGCCGCCGCGCCCGCCCGCAGACAAAAGTTGTGCCCGGAGGAGGAGCCGCCGCCCGCCGGTCCCGGGAGTGGATGGTGCCCGGCGCTCCGGCCGCCCGTCAGGAGGGCATCGGGGCGGGGTCGGGCTGAGCCCGGGTTGGAGTTCCTCCCCCGCGGCTCTCTCCCTCGGCCTCGCTCCTGACCCCCCTCCTATCCCCCAGCATGTCCCGGCTGTTGCTGCCCCTGCTGAGGAGCCGGACTGCGCACAGCCTGCGGCCCCTGCCGGACTGTCGCCCGCGCGGCTCGGCGGGGGCCCCGGCGCCGCTCCTCCGGCCGCCTCCCGCCTTGGCCGCCGCGGCCCCCGCCTGGGCCGCCGCGCCGCGCCCCTCCCGGGGGCTGGGCACCCACCCCAAGCGCGAGCCCATGGAGGCGCTGAACACGGCGCAGGGCGCCCGCGACTTCATCTACAGCCTGCACTCCACCGAGAGGAGCTGCCTGCTAAAGGAACTGCACCGCTTCGAGTCCATAGCCATAGCCCAAGGTAAGGGGCTGGAGCCGAGGGTCGGGGCGGCGCGCCCCCCGCCTCTCGGGCCCCGCCTTGGCCAGCCGCTTGTGTGCCGCCCGTGCGCCCGCTTCTCGCAGCTCCCGGGGCGGCGGGCGCGTCGCGGTCGGTGCCCCCTGCCCCTCCCGGGCCAGTGAGATAAGTGTGAAACCTGCCAGGCTGCGAGGGGCGTGACCGCCGGGATGCTCCCAGCTCCAGCCTGGGAGCCTCTGCCTTCCCGGGCCCTGGAACTCGGCCCGGCTTGGGAGTTTCTTTTTGGGGGGAGGGGGGCTGCTTTTCCCTCTCACCTCTCCAAACTCTGAACTTCAGCCCTTCCTCTTATTAGGGTAGGGTGTGTGGCAAGTCAGTCTTTTCCAGTTAGTGCTACCAAGTGCATGTACATTCTTGTAGACACTTAGCCCTTTTCAAGAAGTGGGGCATTGACCTAGCGTTTAAAGATATTCTCAGCCGCTTGTTTTTTTACAGTGCAACATATGTCAGTTTAAGCGGCTCAATGAAATGTTTGCTTTGAATGGATAGAAGGCAGCTCGTATGGATTTGGTTATGCACAAATTAAGCACCTATGTAAGCAACAATTTTCCGGAAGGGGGAAGAAAAAGTCAATAAATCAGAAGTTTCTTTGTATGGATTAGTGTTAGTACTAGTGCTCAGGAAAACCATAGCAGCCCAAATAAGTAAGTTGAAATAAATGACCCCAAACTCAAGTTAAGATTTTCTCTAAAATGGTGGCATATGCAGCGTTTATTTCATAGTTTGAGCTTAGGAAAAAAAAATCCAGGAAACTGAAATGATGACAGTGATGGGCAGCAGAGGCTGAGATGAATCAGTTTTTCAAAATGTTACTTAAACAGGAGAGAAGGAAGTGTTAATCCAAGAATATTAAATAGATATTAACTAAAATGTGTATCTTTTCCCCAGTAAAAATAGCACGTTTTTATTTGAGCAGTTCACACTTTAGGACACATTGATTTGGGATAGGGACTCTTTGCTGAAACCATTACAAAAGTATGACCCTGGCTCATTTGCAGAATGTTGTCTACCTTAACCAGGTGATACTAAATTGTTTTTACATGGTTTACCTGTGCTACTGCTCCTGGAATTTCACAGTTGTGCTTTTTACCTGCTTTTTTAGTGCAGGAATTTATAGTAGCTTGGGATCCCAGATGCTGTTTACATTCACCTGCATTGTACTATGGGTAACACCCTAAACTTAAATTATTAAACATTTAGAGCAACGTAATGCTGTGTGAGACCATTTAATTGTGTGCATGTGTGTATCTGGAATTTGTGTTACTATATAGAGACACACAGACTGAGCATTTTCAGTCATCAGCACATCAGATGTTTGCTATAAATCCTAATAGTTATGGCCATATTGTGGAATGCTATTTTTCTAAATTTCCTCCATAAACTCACATGAGGCCGTGGTTCTTTCCTGACTTCTAAGCAACCACTCTAAAACATTTATTCTGTGTATTTGCTTTGGAAATTAAGTCTGTTTTGAGATTGATGTAAGGGTCTTTGGATATAATTGTATGGCAACTCTTGAAAAACACTTTTTGCACAACTGAAAAGTTTATTTCTGTATTAAGAGTTTATAGGGAGACTCACATTTGAATGTGAGGACAGAAACTCTTATATTCATCCCCCATGGTGCCTTGCTGGTAGTGATGCTCAATAAATATTTGTTCGAATAGGACTGAACAATATACACAATGTTAATAATAAATGTAGTTCTTTTGCATAAAGGGCCTAAAACTTGCAGAGAGTGAGTTGTTGAGTTAACACCTATTTTGTATGGCCAATTCTGTGGATTTTTACTAAAATTAGTAATCAACATTGGACTTACAGAGAAATATTGGTAAGAATATAGGAAATGCAGTGTGGTAGGCAATGAAGTACAGTAAACTCTTGTGAAGAACCTCAGAAGCTAAATAGTGCTGTTTAATCAAGAAACTTTGCAGATGTTTATAATAATCACCGAGGATTCAATTATGTTCAGTGTAGTTTGTGTTCCATATTTTGTTGCATTCTAATCCAAATTGACAATTTGGTATAGCCTATTTAAATAGGATATTCAATTTATCATATTCACTAACTCTTATTGCTGCAGGAGAGTTTATATCTAAAATATGTATAGCTCATCCTGAATTACCTAATTCACACTGAAAAATGTTCTGTTTTTCTTTTATTTTTGACTTAGCAATCAGAACACTGAAATGCTGATCCTAGTTCTAGCTGTATAAATCCTCTCTTAAATATTTTAAGTATTGTAAGCTTGACTGCTAATAAAATAGGTTCATGTTTAGGATGGGCCCTTCATGAGTTTAGAAATCCTCCGTGTCCTTGAAAAGGAGACTTACATAGCTAAATGATGTACAGTAGAAGTGATGAGGAAGCATTACAGAAAGTAGAAATCATCACTGGTCAAGCTTCGCTATATGGTCTTCTGGAGAAATTTGAGTGTTTCTACTTAGTCATTTCATCTGTATATCAGCCATCCTATTGAGATAAAGCTTAAGAATCAATTTTCTTGTGAGTAAAGCAAAAAAAAAATTTTTTTTGTCTTTTGTATTTCTTTATGTAGTTCAAATTTGTTTACACATTGTGCCTTAAATAGTAAATAGTTTGAAAATTTGGGAATGTAATTTAGTTACTCAAAATTTATACAATACTATTTAATATATATTTTCTATTCTAGGAGATTTTCCCATTTTCTTAAATCTCTTGAATGTTGTGATATGTTCAGGCAGATTACTTAATATAATTCGGATATATACCTGTTTGATTTTAGTGCATAATTTTGTAAATAGATTTTGCTTTTAGTAGAAAAGCAAGGAATTCTATCTAAATGATAATTTGTGGTAAAAAAAAAATCTCTGAGAGTAAACATTTCTCCAAAAACTTTCATTTAATTTAGCTTAATAGTTGAAAATCAAAGGCAGAAAATGTAAAAAACTAGAATTCTTTAATGAGGTGAAGATATTGGGCAGTAATGGCTATTGCACAAACACATGCTTTGTGATCATATGTGACACTGAATTATTGACTTTTGGGTAGGTGCTAAATTGGGATCAGTGCTCTAGAATCAGTGTGGGTGAAATACTGAGGTACAAGAACACCAGACTTTTGGACCCTAGGAGGAATAGAGGGTGGCCAGGAAGACATCAGGATGATTTGAAAATGATTTTCATCTTTCCTGTTGTTACTACTCCCTGTTGTCTTGAGGTAGATCAAGGAGGTAGTGTTTTTCCAAAAGCCAGTTTTGGCTTGACCTTTTCTTGATTAGTCTTCCAGGCAACAATATAGTTTGAGAAGAGTATTATACCATAAAAGCCTCACGAGACATCTAGTTCAATATTTGCCTGAATATAAGCCTTCTCTACAGCATCCCTGATGCTAGTCATCCAGCCTTTTTCTTGAAGATCTCTAGTGCTAGTTGATAAGTTACAAATTTAAATGGAGTTGTTACAAGGTGATCTTTTCATTGCTTCCTCGATCACCCTGACATTTTCCTAATCTGAGCCGTATGAGTTTAGTTACTAAGTTGACGCATTTTGCCAGAGATAATCTATTTCTTTTCTGAGATACTCTGCTGGCTCTGTTTTTGGCAGTTTGATGTTTTGATTGCACAGCTGACATTATTGAAATAGCTTTTAGATATTTATCTTGTAGTATTAAAACTGCTGAATACATTCATACTGCTAATTAGAATTGTTTCTTCAGATGCTTCTGTAAATTTTGTCAAGATTCAGCTTTCATAGTATGGCAATTCAGTTTTCCAATTTATCCTGTGTATAGCTTGTTTGTACATAGTTTGTATGTTGTCTCCCTGTGAGCCTGTGAGCTCTTTGAGAGCAGGGCCTCTCTTTTACCTTTTTTTGTATCCCTGCTGTTTAGCACAGTTCCTGGCACATAGTAGATGCTTATAAATATTTATTGATTGACTGTTCATTTACAATTTTTAAAATTGTAAATAGCTGAAAAAATTGTAAAATGTTATCATTCATAAAGGATTTTATTTATGAGTTTGTCAATCCAGTAAGAATATCTTTATAGTTTTTTTTCTATAAAAGGCTTCTGTATAGGTGAAAGGGGTATGTTTGGCATTGGTTTTCTAATTTTCCCTTTTAACTCATACTTAAATATTTTATTACTTAAATAGAGGTTTAGACAACTGATAACTTATGAAGAGGTTACACACAGTAAGGGTACTGTGATTGGGTTATGATGGTTTCTTGGTTGATAAGGGTACAGGTATTAGGGAGAGATCTAGGTGTAAAAGCATTATTAAAACTTATTTCCATTGGGCATTTTTTCAAGTGCTTTCCCATTCATTATGATCTTTTATCCTCACAAAACTCTTATGAGATAGGTCCCTGAGACCCAAAAGTTAAATGGCTTGCCCAAATTATGTCTAGTCCCTTGCAAGCAAGTGACAGGCTAGGACTAGAATCTAAATCAACTTTGTCTCCGGTCCATGTGCTATTTTTATATTATACCACAAGGCCTTTTACTTTCTGCTATTTTATATAGAAGTATAGGAAAGTATGGTTCTACCAAATAAGGTGCCTGCTTCCTTGGAAACTGCCACTGACTCCCTGTATGTCTATCACCTAGGATCCTTTTCCAGCTCTAAATCTATGATTTGTTCCGTTTTTATGGCCTTCCCAGATCCCAAGTGACCAGGTAATAGGAAGGTCTCTTTGGGTCTCTAAAGTCAACTTCTATAGTCTCCTACCACTACCAACATCAGTCACTTTTCCTTGATACTGGTCATATAGGTACCCAGCTAAAGGCTGAATGTGTTAGTGGGGAAAAAAATATGAGACAGTCCTTCCTTTCACGTGACTTATACTGTGTCTGGAACTAGGAGACAGAGGTTAAACCAAACCTTATATACTAGATATACTTTCAGTTAATCAACAACGGCTTATTGATTACTACCTATGGTTCAGGCACTATACTAGGTGTTGGGG